GTACTCCGACAGCAGGGCGCGGTCCCTGTGCGCCGCATAGCCCACCCGCACCGAACCGACGACACCGTGGTGAGTGGGTGAGTGGTCACATCGAGCGGGCCGGCAGGCGCTGGGATAAACCTAAAGGTGGCCAGCTCGGGGACGGTGAAGTAGGTGCCGCAACCGCGGTACCACATGTAGGCTGCGGCGACGAATAGCACCAGCGGGCCGGCGATGAGGGCCGGGGTCGCGTTGAGCCAGTCCCTGCGTAGACATGATCCGATTTGTTGAGATCTCAACGGATTTCTTCACAGCACGCGGGGCACACTACAGCACCGAACGACACGAAACGACACGACACGCACAGGCGCACACGCACACGCGGCGAGTGAGGGAGGGAGTACCAGGAGTCGGTAAAGATGTCGACCTCCTTGTACTGAACAAAGAAGAGCCACGACGCGGGGTACAGAGCGCCGATGGCGGAGAGCACGGCGGCCATCACCTTGGCCACCACATAGCGAGCCCGCTGCCACAGCGTCGGTCGGCGCTGCACGCGACACGCACGCGGCACACGCACACACAGGAAAGAGTCAAATTGATGCTTGCTTGTATCAGTGGTGTGCGGGAGCGCGTACCACGACGACCGGCTTGGTCTGGTCGAGATAGGCGTGCTTGCCATCGGGCGTGCACACGACTGCGACGACAGAGTTGGGTCAGCCGAGGGGAGCGAGAACGGGGCCAGCTGGTGCGGGCGAGGGAAAGAGGGAGCGCGTACAGCCGTCGCGGACGACGAGCGACGAGGGCGATCTGGGAGTGGAGGCGAAGGCGGTCACGCCCACCACCCCGCGCGCGATGTTGACGCCGCACGCGACGACCCACGAACGCGCGCGTCCGGTCGTCGAGCCCTGCCCCACGCGCACCTCGGCGGCGGAGCTCAGGACACCACCGCTCCACCGGCGCACGTGCTGTGCGCTGCAAGAAATAGAATTTAAATAAATTATTGGCAGTAAATAAAGAAGAATTATTCAATAAGGAAAATAGTATATCGTTATAGTTTTTGTTGTAGTGAAGTTATTATTATTATTATTATTATTTGAAATCAATTACCAATGTAAATAAATCAAAGCAAGGGCCATACGCGGAGGAGGGCTGGAGGCGGAGGGGCACGAGGGGCGCGGCGGTGCTGCTGGTGGCTCTGGGCAGCCGGCCCCAGCCCGCACTGAAGCTGGTGGCAGACGTCCCCAAGGTGCGGCTGCGCGTCACTACGACAGTGGCTCTCCTCATCTTCTTCTGCTTCAAGTCTGTGTCTCTTCGTGCGGTGTGGATTCGTCAAGACGGGGGAATAGCCTTCTTCTCTTTTTCTTCCCACACAGAGGCGGTGCGATTGGTTGGCACTGTCCTTCACGATAGCCGTGGATCACGCCCGTTCGTTGGCGTAAGGCCAAGGAATCGGGTTTGGTGAACCTCGCGACCATATGGACCTTGTCCACCCACACATTGACTGCACCAGCTCGAGGGCTCAAGGACAACCACACACCACACCACACAACACACAACACACAACACACACAACACACCACACACACACGACACACGCACTGTTATTTATGTACTTGCTTCGATGTCTTCAGACAGCTCTTGGGCGCGGTGGGCTGGGCTTCCACTCGATCCAGTAGTGCTGCTTGTGGCCCTGTCCGACGTGCGTGGTGTTGCGCCGGTCGAGCTCCTCCAGGTACTTCTCGGCCTCCTCCTTGGAGGGGAAGTCCTTGATGTGGTAGCTGTGGCCGTGGTCATCCTGCACCATGGCCCCACGCACATTCGAGTGTGTGAGAGAAGGCGTGGCCTCTAAATTAGAGGGGGGGGCAACGCCATGGTACCATTCTGTGCACGGACACGGCCGACTCCGTCGGCTTGGCCCTGCTGCTGCCGCTGACGCTGCTGTATGGCCGCTGCTGGCCACCACCCAAGTAGTAGCAACCTATGCAGCTGACCGGCCAATTGGCCCGCCGTTCAAGTGTTGGTTGCGGTCGCAGCCCCCGCACGCCTCTCATCGCGTCTCTTTCTGTTTGTTCGCGTTTTTCCTCTTTATTCTTTTACCGCGTGGTGCTGGGAGCCAAGGCCGTCGTTCTTCGTCTTGAGAGCCGGAACGGCGGAAACAGAAACAAGGAAGACAACAACGGAAGCACAAGAGCAGACTAAAGAATCAAAGGGGGGCAGCAGAAGATGGAAGAGCCAAGCCGCACCTTCTCACACCCAGCGCAGCAGCCGGCCGATGCCGCGGGGTCAACGGCGTGTGGAACGTGCCGTCTTGCCCATGCCTCTTGCGACCGGTACGCTGCCATCACCCCCCCCCCTCTCCCTCCCTCTCTTTCCCTCTGCTCTTTTCCATTTTAAACCCAATTTATTTTTTTAAAATTTATTGTTTAACGTGTCATGGACCCACAGAGCGCAGCCGTGCGGGCGGTGCGTGAGGCTGGGCAAGACGGAGACCTGCCAGCCGCCTCCCACGCGCAAGCGCGGCCGCCCACGCAAGGGTCCGCCGCCCGACGACCAACCACAGCAACAGCAGGCGCACGCGGGGACACTTGCTGTGCCACCGCACCACCACCACCACGACGACCACCACCAGCCGCAACCACCACCACCACCACACACCAGCAGCAGCAGCAGCGAGCAAGCGCTTTTGCAAGGCGACCGACCCTGTGATCGATCCGCCCGGCACAGCCAGCCACCACACGCCGCACCTGCGCCTGCTGCAGGCCCACACTGTTTCTCCTCCTCCTCCTCTGCGTCGTCGTCGTCGTCACCGTCATCACTATCACCGGCGGCGGAAGAGGATTGGGCGTCGTTGTGGTCGCCTCCCCCGCCATCGCAGCCGGCGGCGGGATCTTTACCCAGCCACCAGCGATTCACTCAGCCGGCACCGGCGCGGACTCTACCGGGCCAGGGCCAGCAGGAGCAGGACTCGCAGGAGGGGCTGCGGTCGCTGCTGATGCTGGTGGTGGACCAGGTGCGCGAGATGCGGCGCGAGAACGAGCACCTGCACGACACCATCGCCCAGCTGCGAGCCACGCAGAAGCAGACCCAGCGCAGGCTGGCGCGCGTGGAGCAGGACCACGAGATCAAGAGCCGCCAGCTCGAGCAAACCGAGTCCAGGCTGGCGCGCGTGGAGGCGGACCACCAGACCAAGAGCCGCCTGCTCGAGCAGACGCGCATTGAGCTCAACGACCACGTCATGGCCCACCACCGCGACCACGTCCGTGATCACGCCCACGCGAGCTCCACATTCCCGCCGCCGCCGCCACCGTTCTCGTCGGAGACAGCGGTGGTGGCACCACCACGATGTGAGTTACAGCTCGTCGCGGCGGTGGCGGGGTCCACAACGCCGCGAGCCGAAGTGGAGCAGTTCATCGCGCAGACGCTTCCGTTTCTGCAGGAGTTCGACTGCTCATCGCTCATCCTCCGCGACTTGCAGTACACCACACCCACACCCACACCCACACCCACACCCACACCCACACCCACACCCACACCCACACCCACACCCACACCCACACCCACACCCACACCCACACCCACACCCACACCCACACCCACACCCACACCCATTTTCATTCATACCATTCATCAATGCCGGATGTCATCAGGCGGCCGTTCATTGTCGCGCGAATGAAGGAGGCCGAGACGCTGGACGACCTGGACTCGCCCGTCATCGTTTACATGTCACCGTCTATGTGCGAGCTCCTCGGCTATGACATGGTACGCGCTGCCGCCTTGCCCCACCGTACCACCGACAAGACTGAACGGTCTGCCGCGATTGGTGTTGGGGGGACTGGCGACAGTTGGAGCTGCACGGCTCTCGCTTAACTTCCATCTGCTCACCGAAGCCCGAGTATCTGGCGGTATTCGTGCGGGTGATACTGATGCGGCCGCCCGCGCGAGTCGGCCAGCCTCTCTTCTTGTCGCGCGGACCGCTGATAACGAAGCAGGGACGCAACGTGCAACTGTCCACCGCGCATCAATTCCTCTACAATCAACGACGCCTGGTACTGTCCGTGTCTCTCTCTGGGTCCACTCACAGTTCCACGCTCACGACACGACATACGACATACGACACACGACACACATGCCACGACAGGCGCAGTGGCAGATCATGCAAGTGAACAGCGTTCTCGAAACGGATCTGGGTTCGGCACCTCTTATGCGGCCGATCCCCAGCATCATGCACGACCCCACCGTGCGAGCGCACCTGCTCGCCCGGCTGCCGCATTCGCTGCTCTTCGGGTGCCAGGGCGAGATGACTAGCACTCAACTGTCGCCGCACCAGCATCACGGCTTCGGCTCGCAGACCCATTCGTGCCTCAATCGCCCCCACCACTTCCACGAGGCGACGCACTTGGCGCCGTCGTTCGTCGCGCAACACACCTGCGCCGCGATCGAAGATCTCACCGTGGAGGAGGCGGCAGCTCTGATGGCCGCGATGACGCAGCACCACCAGCACCAACGACCGCCAGGCCGCCAAGACGTGATAACGCGCGCACAAGGGTCAGAAGAGGTCGACGACGACGACGACAACGACAACGACAGCGAGCTGGACGAGCTCATGCGGGTCCTCGGGTTGCCGATCGAGAGCGGCGTGCGTGCGTCACCGTTCAGCCGTTTGGTGATGGGATTCAACTCGTCGCTCCCGCCGCCCACGACACCGGCCACTCTCGCTGAGCGGTGGATGCGCTGATGGGGCGAATGGAACCTGGCGTACAAACGACTTGCTTGTGTGTACCAAAGAGAAACCTTGACCGCGACAGTTTCGTGCTAGAGGGCAACGCCAACAACCAGCCCGTGATCACAGACTCGACCGACAGCTATTATTTAATTGTCAACACTCTTCTTATTGTTTGTTGATCGCTGGAAATTTGTGTGCTGCTTGTATCCGCCCGGCAGTTGTTGTTAGTCTTTAGTGTGGTTTTGGGGTTGAGGTAAAACACGCCAGCGATCAACAATCAACGACCACAGCTTTCTCCCTCTGTTTATGTGGTGGGCGACATGGCGTTTTTTCCGGAAAACTTGCTCTTCTTTTGCTGCTACGCGTGCATCAGCGCATCCATCTCTCGGCGAGACTGGCCGGAGTGTTGAAGCCCAGCACCCGATGGTGGTGGTGGTGGTGGTGGCCAAACATCAGCGGCGAACATACGCCGCCGGCGCCGCTGCTCTGGATCGGCAAGTCCAGGGCACGCACGAGCGCCTCCAGCTCACCATCGTCTTCTTCTTCTGCCCGTTCGCGCGTCGTCGCGTGACGCCGGCTTGATGGTGATGGTCGCTGGAGTGTCAGCTCGCTGCCGCCGCGGAGTCGCCCAAAGAGCAGCGAATGCGGCAGCCGCGCGAGCAGGTACGCCCGGATTGTGGGTTCGCGCACGGCCTCGCAGAGAGGCATTGGCCTCGCGGGGTTGTACACCCCTTTGTGTATGACCGCCGGTGCCGACTGGAGTCCCGCTTCGAGAATGCTGTGCACCTGCATTACGTGCCATTCCGCCTGTGTCGTGTGTGCCGTGTGTGTGAATAAAATTGGCGGCTCGATGAGCGGAGGAGGGTCGTACCACGCGCCGTTGGTTGTAGACGAATTGGTGCTGGCAGGTCACCCGCACGTTGTGTCCCTGTTTCGTTGTAAAGCAGACGCTCGCAAAGGATGGCTGACCGACGGGCGTGAGCGACCGCATCAGCATCAGCCGCACGAACATCGGCAGATGCACAGCATCTGGCCCGCCGAACCTAGTCATCGGGGAGCCGTGCATCTCGCACTGTTGTCAGGTAAGGGCCAGAGTCAGCTGGGTGGTGCGTGTGTGTCGTTTGTGTGTGTGTGTGTGTGTGTGTGGCGTCGCTTGTACAACGAACAAGTGGAGAAGGCGGGCGGGCGCGGACCTGGTCGTAGCCGATGAGCTTGCACAGGGACGGTGACGCGTACGCTACGATGGGCGTGTCCAGGTCGTCCAGCGTCTCGGCCTCTGCCATTCGCATGACCACGAAGGGCCGCCTGATGATGACCACCAGCCATGCCGTCCCAATGTCAGTCCCGATCACCCCCTATTTTCTCACCCACCGTGGCGGATTGGAAGCGAAAAGCGGTGGTGAGTGTGTACTGCAAGTCACGGAGGATGAGCGACGACCGGTCGAACGCCGACAAGAACGGCAGCGTCTGCGCGATGAACTGCTCCACGTCGGCTCCCGGCGCCTCTGCAAGCAGTCTCCAGCGCACCCACGTGGTTGTTCCGTGGACTGCGAACGGGAGTCACATCGCGGTGGTGGGCATGGGTGGGCCGCCATGACATGGTCGTCGATCTTCTTGTTGAGCTCCACGCGCGTCTGCTCGAGCTCGATGTGGGTCTGCTCGAGCTGGCGGCTCTTGATCTCGTTGTCCTGCTCCACGCGCGCCAGCCTGCGCTGGGTCTGCTTCTGCGTGGCGCGCAGCTGGGCGATGGTGTCGTGGAGGCGCTCGTTCTCGCGCCGCATCTCGCGCACCTGGTCCACCACCAGCATCAGCAGCGACCGCAGCCCCTGCCAGTCCTGCTCCTGGCCCGCCACTGGCGTCGGTAGAGCCCGCGGCGATGATGATGAGGGAGGCGACCACCAATCCTCTTCTGCCGTGCGGGCGGTGCGTGAGGCTGGGCAAGGCCGACAGCTGCCAGCCGCCGCCCACGCGCAAGCGCGGCCGCCCACCACGCAAAACGACCCTACCATCGCCCGACGACCAACAACCACAACAAGAGCAGGCTGCTCCCTGCAGGAGACCACAGGGGAACAAACAGAACAACAAAATAAGACAAAATGAAATTAAATGATCGCAAAGAACAGTGAAAAGAAAAAACTGCGCAATGGGTGGGGATTGGGGGGGGGGGTGGCAACACGGACCGGTCGCAAGAGGCGTGGGCAAGACGGCACGTTGCGCACGCCTTTGGCCCCGCGGCGCCGGCGCCTGCTGTGTCGGCGGCAGGCTGCTGCTGCTGCGTTCGTGCGGGGCTGTGATCCATCTTTTCTTCTTCAGGCCTTGCTTTTGCTGGGTGGTGATGGTCATGGACAACCACTGCCTGGGTGCGGAAGCGGTGCTGCCTGTCTTCTTTCTTCTTCCTTTTGCGTGCACCCAATCACCCGGTCAAGATAGCCCTTCTGCACGTGGAAGTGACGAACGGCCACCAAGATGTCTCCTGGAGTTCAGATGAGATTCAACGACGCTGGCCACAGTCACAGCCATTCTTGATTGTCTGTCTTCCTCTCAGTGGAAGCAGCGTGCTCCGTGCTTTGTCCCCAAGCCAAAGCAACAAGCCTAAAAGCAAAAAGCCTGAAGAAGAAGGAGCTGCAGCTCCGCCTTCTCCTCGCACCGCCCAACAACAACAAAAGAGGAAATGCATCAACAGCCTGCCGCCGACACAGCAACCGCCGTGGGGCCAAAGGCGTGCGCAACGTGCCGTCTTGCCCACGTCTCTTGCGACCGGTCCGTGTTGCCGCCCCCCCCCCATTCTTCACGCATTGTTTAACGTGTCATGGACCCACAGAGAGCAGCCGTGCGGGCGGTGCGTGAGGCTGGGCAAGACGGAGACCTGCCAGCCGCCTCCCACGCGCAAGCGCGGCCGCCCACCACGCAAGGCTCCCCCACCCGACGAACAACCAGCCCACGCGGGGACACTTGCTGTGCCACCGCACCACCGCGACCACCAACGCCAGCCGCACCCACCACCACCACCACCACCACACACCATCAAAGCCCAGGCAGCAGCAGCGAACAAGCGCCTTTGCGTGCGGCCCAAGACGACCGACCCTGTTGTCTATCCGCCCAGCGACAGCCAGCCACCACACGCCGCACCTGCGCCTGCTGCAGGCCCACACCGCTTCGCCTCCTCCTCCTCCTCCTCTTCGCCCTCATCGCCGTCGTCATCATCGTCATCGTTGGCACCACCGGCGGCGGAAGAGGATTGGGCGTCGTCATGGTCGCCTCCCTCATCATCATCATCATCGCCTTCGCAGCCCACGGGATTCGCGCCGCGGGCTCTACCGGCGCCGGCGGCGGGCCAGCAGGGCCAGCAGGAGCAGGACTGGCAGGGCCTGCAGTCGCTGCTGATGCTGGTGGTGGACCAGGTGCGCGAGATGCGGCGCGAGAACGAGCACCTGCACGACACCATCGCCCAGCTGCGCGCCACGCAGAAGCAGACCGAGCGCAGGCTGGCACACGTGGAGCAGGACCACGAGATCAAGAGCCGCCAGCTCGAGCAGACCCTCATCGAGCTCGAGCAGACGCGCGTGGAGCTCAACCACACGCGCATGGAGCTCAACAAGAAGATCGACGACCATGTCATGGCGTTCCACCCATGCCCACCACCGCGATCCGACTCTCGTTCACAGTCCACGGCACAACCGGGCGCGTGTGCTGGACTGCTTGCAGAGGCGGCGGTGGAGGGGCTCACGACGCCAGGAGCCGACGTGGAGCAGTTCATCGCGCAGACGCTGCCGTTCCTGCGGGCGTTCGATTGCTCGTCGCTCATTCTCCGCGACTTGCAGTACACACTCACCACCAACCCCACCGCCCCACCACCCACTTTTCTCTTTCAAATCCTCACGGCGGGTAAGAGACTTGGGTGATCGGGACTGACACACATTGGGACGGCATGGCTGGTGGTGATCAGGCGGCCGTTCCTGGTCCTGCGCATGGCAGAGGCCGAGACGCTGGACGACCTGGACACGCCCATCGTAGCGTACGCTTCACCGGCCCTGTGCAAGCTCATCGGCTACGACCAGGTACGCGCCCGCCCGCCTTCTCCACTTGTTCGTTGTACAAGCGGCACACGTACGACACACGCGCACCCAGCTGACTCTGGCCCTGACCTGACAACAGTGCGAGATGCACGGCTCCCCGGTCACTTGGCTCGGCGGACCAGATGCTGTGCATCTGCCGATGTTCGTGCGGCTGACGCTGATGCGGTCGCTCACGCCCGTCGGTCGGCCATTCTTTGCGAGCGGCTGCTTCGTGACGAAACAGGGACACAACGTGCGGGTGACCTGCCAGCACCAATTCGTCTACAACCAACGGCGCGTGGTACGACCCTCCTCCGCTCATCGAGCCGCCAATTTTATTCACACACACGGCACACACGACACAGGCGGAATGGCACGTAATGCAGGTGCACAGCATTCTCGAAGCGGGACTCCAGTCGGCACCGGCGGTCATACACAAAGGGGTGTACAACCCCGCGAGGCCAATGCCTCTCCGCGAGGCCGTGCGCGAACCCACAATCCGGGCGTACCTTCTCGCGCGGCTGCCGCATTCGCTGCTCTTTGGGCGACTCCGCGGCGACAGCGAGCTGACACTCCAGCGACCATCACCATCAAGTCTCCGGCGAGATGTGACGACGCGCGAACGGGCAGAAGAAGAAGAAGAAGGAGATGGTGAGCTGGAGGCGCTCGTGCGTGCCCTGGACTTGCCGGTCCAGAGCAGCGGTGCTGGCGGCGTATGTTCGCCGATGTTTGGCCACCACCAGGTGGGCTTCCACCCGCCGGCCAGTCTCGCCGAGAGATGGATGCGCTGATGACCGCGTAGCAGATAAACGCGTTGATGTATGTAAACATCACCAGGAACGGTGACGTCTACATTAGTTTCCATGTCGTCTCGGCTTCTTCCATTCGCATGACCAGGAACGGCTGACCACACATGAAGGTAGTGGCAGAGAAATGAAGAAAGAAAACTCCTCACGCACATAAAGTTTATTTTATTTTATTATTATCATTTGCTGAGATCATTTGCTCACATATCCAAGCAGCCCAGTGCTGGGCGGAGCCCACGACGCCGGGAGCCGACATGGAGCGGTTCATCGCGCAGACACTTCCGTTCGAACGATCACCGGACATCAACTCCTCTCAGCCAACGACGACTGGCATCGTCTGTGTCTCTTGACCTTGCTCACACGACACACTTCTCACGCGACACCACACAAGGTGGTAAGGCTTCTCGCGACGGACCTGGAGCTGGCACCGCTCATCCAGCCGACCTGCAGCGCCGGACACGCCAACAGTACCGCAGCAGTGGCAGCAGGGTCGAACACATAGACTGACAGGCGTTTGTACCGAAAAAAGACAGAAGAAGATAGACAGAAGAAGAAAGGAAAAATCAAGCAAGCAAAGGAAGATGGAGATGGAGGCGAACTGCCCCGCGCCAAAGGCATGCGCAACGTGCCGTCTTGCCCACGCCTCTTGCGACCGGTCCGTGTTGCCACCCCCCCCCAAGGCGCCCTCTTACCATTATTATTCTTTTTTTGTTCTTTTTTATTGGCGCATTATCACATTATTTTTATCCTTGGTGTAAATGGGTCACTGCGTAAATAGGAACCAGCCGTGCGCACGGTGCGTGAGGGTGGGCAAGGCCGAGAGCTGCCAGCCGCCGCCCACGCGCAAGCGCGGCCGCCCACCACGCAAGGCCCCTGCACCCGACGAACAACCACAACAGCCAGCACGGCACGCGGAGAGACCCTCTGCCCACCAACAACCAAAGCTGCGCAAGCGCGCCTGCGTTCGGCCCACGACGACCAACGCTGTCCATATGTCTGACGACACCACCACCTGCCAACAGCCATCACACGAACCTGGCACCACTCTTCCATCACAACCGCAGCTCTGCGCTTCAACAACCACGAACTCAGCATCGCCATCCACCACCACCGCCGCCAGCTCCACTTCGCCGTCTTCGTCGTCGCCGTCGCGGTCATCGTCACCACCAGTAGACGAGGGTTGCGCGTCGTCGTGGTCGTCTCCTTCATCATTTTCACAGCCCGAGGCGGGATCTCTCCACGGCCACCAGCGATTCGCGCCGGCGGCGGGCCAGCAGGGCCAGGAGCAGGACTGGCAGGGACTGCGGTCGCTGCTGATGCTGGTGGTGGACCAGGTGCGCGAGATGCGGCGCGAGAACGAGCGACTCCACGACACCATCGCCCAGCTGCGCGCCATGCAGAAGAAGACCGAGCGCAGGCTGGCGCGCGTGGAGCAGGACCAACAGCAGACGCGCACTGAGACCGAGCGCAGGCTGGCGCGCGTGGAGCAAGATCATCAGACCATCAAGAGCCGCCAGCTCGCGCAGACAGGCATCGAGATCAACCAGAAGAGTGACATAACCCACCGACTTGACCACGTCCACACCTACACAAGCCCTGCGTGCCCGCCGTCGCCCTCGTCCTCGCTGGTGGTGGCGGCTGCGCGACCACCAATCCCACCGCAATTGGACTCCCACTCGTCTTCGTGCGTTGGCGTGCCGCTCGCCGCGGCCGCGGCGCCCACAACGTCGCGAGCCGAAGTGGAGCGGTTCATCGCGCAGACGCTTCCGTTTCTGCGGGCGTTCGACCAGTCTTCGCTCATCATCTGCGACTTGCGGTACGCCCGCCCACCTTCCACGAATTCCATCTGCTGGTTGCAATGTTATGTGTACTCACCTCCCGTGGGGCGTGGCGTGGCGTGACGTGGGCGACAATGATCTTGGAAAGACGTCCTTTCGTCGTCATGCATATGAATGAGGTCGAGGCGCTCGATGACCTGGTGCCCATCATCGTCTACGCGTCACCGTCACTGTGCAAGCTCCTCAGCTACGACCAGGTACGCGCCCATCGCACCCTTACCTGCCCCACACACACCACCACCCCACCCGACGCATACCGAGGAAGTGACGGCTGACTGTGGCATCGGCCAACCATCAGTTTGAGATGCACGGCTCGCCGATATCTTCGTTCGGCATGGTGGACCAGGAGTTTTTGCCAATGCTCGTGCAAATAGTGCTGATGCCGTCGCCCACGCCCGTCGGCCAGCCACTCTGGACGACCACCATGTTAGACACGAAACATGGGCGCAGCATGCGGGTCTCCACCCAGCAGCAATACCTCTTCAACCAACGACGGATGGTACTGCGCTCCAGTCACGAGCCCATTCTTATTTTTGTCACACACGACACTCAACACGACACACACAGGCGCAATGGGTCATCATGCAGGTGGACAGCGTTCTCGAAATGGATCTAGACTCAACGCCGCTCATTACGCCGCGCCCTAGCGACGTCGTAAACGAACTCACTGCCCGAGCGATTGCCCGAGTGCAATTGCTCGCGCGGCTGCCACAGGCCCTGTTGCTTGGGCGCCGCGGCCGCGGCCGCGAGTTGACAACCACCACCAGACGGCCCGGTGCTACACACCACCACCGAGATTCGCACCGCCAGGCGTTCGTTGAGCAGGCCGGCGTGGTCGGAGAGCGCACGACGCAGAAGGAGGAAGCTCCGACGGCCGTCGCGCGGACGGGCCAACAAGACCCTGGACTCCGCGCAGATGCCGAACTGGAGGAGCTCATCCGAGTACTCGGCCGGTCGCTGAGCCAGAGGAGCGGCGGCTTGCGTTCGCCGCAGATGCTGGGCTTCACCCCGCGCACGCCGCCCACACCCTCCAGTCTCGCCGAGAGGTGGATGCGCTGAGCCAAGCAAGAGGGCACAGTTTTTCCGATTCGTTGCGATTGGCGCGTTTTCCGGGTCCGGTTTTTTTCGTTCGCGTGATTTCTCGATTGTACTTGAAGAGAAATCACGCGGCTCACGTGGGGTTGGCGGTGGCCCTTGCTAGCGCCGGTGCAGGTTTGTGTGAGTGAAGATGGAGAGAGGGCCACCGACTACGTTTATGCGAAATGATCATTTCCGCGGGTACCCGGTTCAAATCAGCTCGCCCAACTTTCCGCTGAATGCACTGCTGCGCCCCAAGGCGTGCCTGGCCTGCCGCCTCGCCCATGCCTCCTGCGACAGGTACCCTTTTCAGTCACATTATTTATTTTATTTATATTCGCTGCCTTCATTGTTTATGTCGAATATAAAATAATAAATCAATTCATAATTAATTAAGGGCGCAGCCGTGCGGGCGCTGCGTGAGGACGGGCCGGGCGGACACCTGCCAGCCGCCACCGCAGCGCAAGCGGGGCCGACCACGCAAGGACCCATCAGCCGAGGCCGCCACCACCGCCACTGACAACGCCAACGTCGTCAATGGCAGCGGCAGCGGCATCGGCAGCATCAACGTCAGCCCGCCTGCCTTCGGGTCGCCCCAGTTCGGCGGGTCTCGCCCTGTGTCGCACCACACCAACCCGGCGCAGCCACCGCGACCATTCCAGGCCGAGCAGGGCGCAGGGTGGGCCGACGCGGGCGGCACTTTGGCCCACGCTCCGGCCAAGCGGCGCAGGGTCGAGCTCGAGCGGGACCTGCGCGACGGCGTCGAGCGCCACCACCACCACCACCCCGACCACCACCACCACGACCACCACCAGGTGGACTCCAACGCCGACGTCGACGAGGCGGCGGCGGAGGCCGACTTCAACTCTGACGAGGCCGACTCGGACGACTACGACCAGGTCTACTTCGAGTCCGTCAACGCCCACCTCCACCCGCCGCCCACGACCACCTCGCATTCCTCGCATTCCTCGTCGACAACGTCTACGGCGCAGCCGCGACGCGGCCGAGGGACCAGCGAGGAGCAGGCCTCGGGCGCGGGCGAGGCGCAAGGCGGGCTGAGCATGGTCAAGTCGCTGCTGTTGCTGCTGGTCGACGAGGTGCGGGAGATGAAGCGCGAGTTCGGGCAGGTGCGGGGCGAGGTGGCGGCCCTTCGCGCGTGGCAGGGCGGGGTCGACGACCGCCTCAACGCGCTGGCCGCCGTCAACGAGGCCACCCGCGCCAAGATGGAGGACGAGCGGGCCAAGGGCCGACACATGCATCACGTACTCAAGCGACTCCTCGACACCTCGACGACCACGTCGTCGTCATCACTGCCGTCGACATTGTCGCCGGTGTCGTCTATGTCGATGTTGACAGTGTTGGGCGACCAGCAGTCGGCGGCGGCGGCGGCGGCGGGGGTGCGGTCGCCGCCGTTCATGTACTCGAGCCCGGAGGCGCCGTCGGCCTATCTTGCGCAGCGGATCACGCCCATGCTGCCCTTCCTCAAGGACTACGACTTTGGCACCGTACCCTTCGTACTCGACGACATCAGGTCTGTTCCTCTCTGTGTCGCGTGTGTCGCGTGTGTCGTGTGTGTCGTGCGCTAATCAAGTGGTGATGGGTGGTGGGTGGTGAGCAGTAAGCCGTTCTTTGCGGCGCGGATGAAGGAGATGCAGACGTTCGAGGAGCTGGAGTCCCCGGTGATCCTCTTCTCCTCGCCCTCCATGTGCGCGCTCCTCAACTACCGCGTGGTACCACCACTCCCCACCTCCCTTGTCTTTTCGTGCACTGCACAGACTCATTTATCATGCGCGTGTGCGGTGGTGCGTGTGCGTGTGCGATGGTGTGTGTGCGTGTGCGTGCGTGTGCGTGTGCGATGGTGCGTGTGCGTATCTAAGGATGAATTGCAAGGCCAGACGCTCAGGATGATCGCGCGGCCGGCCATCGCTTGCTACGCGGCGTTCACCATTCGGATGTTGGCGCGGAGCGAGCCCGTGGGCGAGGTGTTCACCCTCAACGCCGTCTGGGCGGCCAAGAACCGCAGCCTCCGCCTCCTCACCCGACACCAGTTCCTCTACGGACCTCGTCGCATGGTTCGACCGCACAACACACACACACGCACGACACACACTCGCACACGCACACGCACACGATGAACTTACGGAAGGTTGATGGTGCAGACGAACTGGCTCTTCGTGGTGGTGGACGCGGTGCTGGAGGAGAATGTGCCGGTGCCGCCGTCGCCCAGGGGGATGATCCTGCAGAATGTGCAGGTGCGGATCGAGGCCTGGCGCAAGGCCGTCGAGACGGCCCACCCGCGCGAGAAGGCGGCCCTGCTCGCCGTGCTCGAGGCCGTCGACGTCTCCGCGCCGCCCTCCCGGAAGATGCTCACCTACTTCGCCAACTATGCACCACCCCCGCCTGGCCACACCTCGCCGCCATCGTCATCGTCGTCGTCTTCATCATCATCATCAGCGTCATCATTGTCGTCGTCCCCAGTCGACGGCCACTCGCCGGCGGCGCCGGTCGATGACCGCCACGGCCACGGCCACGGCCAGCACCAGGCCACTGCCGCCGGGCCGACAGCGTCGGAGCAACGGCGGGAGGCGGAGCTGGCCGAGATGGTCCACGCCCTCTACGACGACCAGCAACAGTCACAGCCATCGCAGCCACACCCGCACGAGAACGGACAGCAGCAGCAGCCCGACATGCCCGCAACCCCGGGCGATCCCTGGCTCGAGTTCCGAGGCCTCGCGTCGCCCACCTGGCTCTAGCCCTTGCCCGACAACAGGGCTCCACGTTCTCCAGTTCGCGCCTCTGTACATAGCAAAGAAAGCGATCGTCTTCTTCGTTTATCTTCGCTCTCTTTCCTTCTTTCGTTCAATGGGAAAACGTGTGTGGTGTGTTTTTTCGTTCAGGCGTCGGTCTTGTGCATGGCGTTGTAGATGGCGATGCGCGGACCCGCGGGCAGGCCCAGCTCCTTGAGGTCGTCCTTCTCGAACTCCTTCAGCGCCTGCACAGACACAAAACCAACGAAGATGACGATGATGATGAGAAGAAGAAGAACGAAAACGAGGTGATGGTGAAAAAGGGGACCTCGTAGGTGAGCTTCTCCTTGAGGAATGTCTCGCGGAAGTTGAGGTAGCCCAGCCGCGTCAGCAGTTCCTCGAGCTGGTCGTCCAGTCGCGCCTCTCCAACGCCGCCGCCAGAGTTCAATCCATCCGCAGGCGGTGCCGACGCCGACGTCAGCGGCTGCTGCTGCTGGGGCTGGGCTGCGTCGATTGGAAGTGGTCGGGGTAGGCCGGCCCTCCCATCGGCGGCTGCTGCTGCTGCTGGCCCATGGGCTGGTAGTACTGCTGCTGCTGCTGCGGCATGGGCGGCTGCGGCTGCTGCGCGTACTGACCTTGCGACGACGGCAGGCGTGCTCGAGTCGCGGGCCACGAGTGGCTGCTGCTGCTGGGGCGGGTACTGCTGCTGCTGGGCGGATATTGCTGGGACTGGGGCGGGTACTGCTGCTGCTGCTGCTGCTGCTGCTGCTGCTGCTGCTGCTGCGGGTAGTAGGGTTGCTGCTGTCCGCCCATCTGCCACTGCTGCGGGTACTGCTGGCCCTGTGACGGTGGGTACTGTTGCTGCTGTTGCTGCTGCTGTGGCATGGGCGGGCCGCCCCACGACTGCTGGTGCGGCGGCGGGTACTGCCCGCTCATCGGCATCTGGCCGCCGCCGCCACCACCCCACTGCTGCTGCTGCTGCGGTGGAGGCTAACCAGGTCGGTCTTCGGTCAGCCAACTACTCCACCACGCAGAGGCGATGATACGCGGGAAACGTACCATCGCGTTGTAGCCGGCGTAGCCAGAGTCCATCGCGGGCTGACCGAATCCAGGATAGCCCTACGCGCGTGCGTCGTGCGTGTCGAGCGTGAGTTGTGTGTGTGTGTGTGTGTGTGTGTGCCATCGACGGCGGAGGTGCGTACCTGGCTCTGTGGCGGGCCGCCGGTGGGGAACTGCACGCCGGCACTGGGCGGCGGCTGAAGGCCCATCACCGAGCCCCTGGACGACGGGTACTGGAAGGCCGACCGCGGGTTGGGGCTGATGCCGTTGATGGCCATGAACGACGTCAGCTGCCACGGGATCTCCTGTAACGGCCGCAACACGCAGCGGTCAGTGGAGTGCGTCGTGCCGTGCGTGTCGTGCTGCGTGTCGTGCGTGTCGTGTCGCGGTGCGTGTCGTGTCCAACCTTTAGTGTTTCCTCGGCGAGCTGGTGGGGGTTGTTCCGGAACTCGCGGAAGGGGACGAACTGGACGATGTCGCGCTCCATCTCCTGGCCGTTGTAGACCAGCGGATTGTCGTCGGCATCGAGCACGTCCTAAAAGAAAAGAAAAAGAAAAGAGCAAAGAGAAAAGAGCCATCAGTGGTGGGTGAGCGCGAAGCGAGCTGCTGGGGCCGATGGAGTGTACCATGTCCTTGAAATCGGCATCGCCCACACCCACGATCACTGCACCGTCATCGGGAGACACGTCAGACCAGGGCGACACACACGACACACACGACACAGTACACGACACACGTACCAATTGAGAGCGGCAACGTTGAGGCTCGGACGATCTCGCGCGTGGTCTCCCGCATGTCCGAGATGATACTGCGCGGTGTGGACACACACACGCACCACCGGTCAGGTGATGGAGCGGCAAAGAGAGGCCCTCGTAGAGGTTGTTGGTGGTCGTCGTGGTGGTTGAGTGAAGGGTACCCATCGGTCAAAATGAGCAGGATGAAGTGGTTCTGGCGCTGTTGGGCCACGGCCTCCTTCGCCATGTCCGCCGCCCCGGAGATGATCTGGCCAGTACACGATAAGCACCGCACATGTGCGGTGGCCACACGACACACGACACGACACACTGAATGCGTGTACCTCAGCAAAATTGGTAGGACCGGACAGAATCCAGTGCTCGAACGCCTTTTCGTAGGCCTGGAGCACGCCGTCGATGCCCTGCACCTCGGGCTGGCCAAAATGGTAATAACAATAAAAATGTGAGGAGGGGTTGAGGTAAGTAACGAGGCCACATTCCTGCCCTTAGCGGAATGTAAAGTTGTTCTGCGACGTACGTCGCTTTCGTTGCCGTTGAGCGCGAAGCAGTGGTGGGCCGTTCCCGCCTTGCCCTCGGCCTTCTTCTTCCCTCCGAATCCGTAGACCTGTTATCCCAACCAACCAACCAACCAACCAACCAACCAACCAACCAACCAACCAACCAACCAACCAACCAACAGCAGCAGTGAGACCAACACACGGATGTTTGCCATTTTGGTTTAACGGTAAACCAAAAACAACAGTGCTGCGTTGGTGTGTGGGTGCTGCGCGTGCTGTACCGGGTATCGCTTGTCGCTGTCGTAGTCGGATAGGATCTGTCCCACCGATGTGATGGCCGCCACGTACTCGTTTTGCTTCCTCTGTGGGTGGTGATAATGGACGAACGAACGAATGAATGGTTGGTTGGGGTTGGTTGGTTGGCAAAGTGGGAGAAGGCCGACGTACGCCACTGGGGTCGAGATAGTGGAGCGACGCGGGATCCTTTGGACTGCCATTCGACGCCGTGAAATCTGGGATCGAGCGAGGCGCGTGAGAAGAGAGGAGAGAGTTGGCGAAGTAGTGCAACGTTTTCTCGTGGCGCGATGTGTGGATGGCGCCTTACCGATTGCGATGATGAGACTGATCTGGCAGCCACCAGCGATGTATTCGAGGAATCTGAACACACACATGACACACGACACGACACGACACGACACGACACACGGTCGATCGGTCGGTCGGCGAATGCAATAAGTACGAATGAAGGAGGGAGGTGCGGAGGGGTACGTGTGGGTGTTGTAGCCGTAGTAGGGGTTGGCGATCCTCTGCTCGCGCTGGTCCTTCTGGCGGGTCTCCACCCTCAGCAGACCTGTGGAGGCCCAGAGAGACGACGTAAGTTATAAAAGCACAGCAGACGTCGCGAGAAGGGGGGAGGGGCACCTGAGTCCCTGTACTTCTTCTTTTTGGCCTTCTTCTTGTTGTTGATGATGGGGAAGTCGCCCTTGTTGGAGTAGAGCTCTTCGGTGTCGGTTTCGACCTGCCCGATGAACGAATGCGCTCCACTGTGTACCACGCATACCACACGCTTGGTCAGATCAAATCGATGGAGCGCGCACAGGCACGGGGGAAGAGGAAGAAGTAGAGGAAGCGCACTTTCGGTTCCAGTCCCAGATCTGAATGAGGAGAGGCCGCTTGGGGTCTCCGTTGTTGAGGTCCTCGCCAGAGATCTCGAACGGCGTCCAGTTCGGGTTGAGCGTGAGTTTGATTGTCTGATTGGCGCCGGCGGCTACTATTAGTCGCCTGACACGCGCCAGCGCACACGCGCACGAAACGTGCACAAAGAGCGAGAGCAGCAGGGTGAGAAGCACCTCTGATTTGTAGACGGGCACCCAGTTGTCCGCCTCACCGGACCTCCCAGACTCGCGCGATCGTAGAATCACAAAGAAAGGATCTGCACTCACGAGCGACCATGTCAGTCGTGAGCTAAAGGCGATCCGCTTTACAGCCCCAGCGAGCCATTGGTTGTGTGTGCGCGTGCGCGTGTGGTGTGTGCGTACCAGACTTGCCGAAGAGATCCTTCCTGTCAAGATTGTGCGCAGAGAACTTGAACCGGTGAAACTCCTTTCTCGTCTTGACGTATTTGTCCCTGACGTTCAGCGTCTGCGTGCCGCGTCGAACATGTCAGCTTCAGAAGTGAAATAATTGTGCGACACCCAACGTCTGATCTTTGTGGTGTGGGGCGTAGTACCGCGATCTGGTCCTGTGGGATGGTGTCGTTGATCTCTTCGCCCATGACCAAGATCTTTCCGTTCCTTCGGTTCGGCTTTTGCTCGTTCCTGAAAGAGGAGGGGAAAGACGAGCCAGACGTGAGCAGAGGCTCGTGGGTGGGTGGTACGATTGGCAATGATGATCGGAAGCGTAGCCCCGTACACAAGGGTCAACACGAGCGTCTGGCCGCTCGACGTCATCAGTTCGCTGAGCCGGCACTCCTGTGATTGCAGAGACCAAGGATGAGCAATGGTGCGTGCGCGTGCGCGAGCGCGTGTGGAGAGCTGTACCGCGTGGCCGATAAAGTCCTGCTTGTCGAGGCCGGCATTCTTGTCGTCGATGTCGTAGACTTTGAACATCAGTGGCTGCACCTTCTCGAATTGGTACGGGAGCTTGAAAGAGGTGACCCACTTGGGGTTCAAGTTGTCCTACGCGTCCGTGTGATTAGAAGAAGAAGAAAAAGCACACCGCATGCAACACACGCACACGCACACACGCACACGCAACACAGCACTTGGGCTTACCCAGATGATCTCGGTCCTGCCTACTTCCTTCCATTTGTCGTTCTCCTTGGCGTAGACGGCGCACAGCGGATCTGACCGCGCACAGATGGAGTCAACCAAGCGCTCGCGCTGATGTGCGCGCATAACGTGGTGAAGGAGGGAACAACATACCCGACTTGGAGAAGGTGTCCAAGTTCACCAGGTCTCTGTACACCCGACAGCGGGGCGAAGGTGGAAGAGATGAGCCTCCGCCAGAGACAAAGAAGAAAGGAAAGAAGGAAAGAAGAAGCTGTGGGTGAGTGGGGGAAGAGAGCGTACTTGCAGGCAACGTGTATCTCCACCTTGGTGGCGCTCTTCTGGAGCGCGTGCGCTTGCGTCATGTCGGCCGTCACTACCCCGGTGGCCGGCTGCGAGGGCGCGTACATGCCGGCCTCGAGTCCTCCCCACTGCGCCTGCCACTGAGGCTGCCACGTAACGTCCATGCCTGCCCCACACGCCTCCTCCGGTCAGCCGCGAGTGCATGAATGCAAAGGCCACCGAGCTGCAGTGCCGCAGAAGATAATAATGAAATAATCAAAATAATTGATAAATATAAAATCTACACAGAATCAAAGATTGATTCAGAGCAGCACCCTACCTTGTCTGGTGGTGAGTGTTTTGCGTTGTAGAACCGTTGGACTCAGAGTGCTTTTTCTCTGCTGGGCGTGCCACAAGCGCCAGCCGCACGAGATTTGCGTAAACGGCAGCACAGCCGAAAACTATGACCTGGCCCCCAAAACCGGAACTCCCCGTCCGAACATGCCAAGACCATGGCCCACCCGCTCCGTGAAGAGATGCCCAACAACTGAGAAATTTCCGAACACACTTCCTGGCACTCGACTACATTTTTCCACCTCCTAAATTTCTCGGTACTGCCACCCTTGTTCCCCTCCGTTTTCGTGCTCTCCTCGATTACCAGATTTTTACCAGTTCGAAAGCTGGTAATTTCTGGGATCGATGGGCCGAAAGCGGGATAAAGGGCGGTATTTTATTAGTCATTTTCTGAACCGGAAAAAAGGGGACAAGTCTGGCGCGAAAATGATGCCACGTCAGAGAAAAATAATTTCTGCGGACATTTCCACGATCTGTGGTGGGCTCTGGTTGGCTTGATGGGGCCGACGAAGAAAAGGAGCAGAATGGAGGGAAAGTGGGGTATGGGAAGGCAGCAGAAGTCAGCCAATCAAAGACACAAAACAACCGACGACCACCAAGACCACCTCTCCCCAGAGGCCAACAACCACCGCAGCGAACTCGACGAACAGCCACTTTCGATCGACTTCGCGAATCCATCCCCAACCACAGACTACTCACCGAGATCGAAAATTCCAATCACCACACACCAAGCCGAGCTTCTGCAACGATCCTTCGCGGCCACCATCTTCGTCTGCTAGGGATTCTCTGCCTCTGCAACTTCCTCTTCTCATAACCTCACCTCTCGCAATTTTGGGTTCGCACCACCAACACCTCGTCCTCTACACTTAGTCGAAAACGGACGCCTAAATCGAAAACACATCATCAAGTATGAACCGCGTCGCCATCCAAAAAAATGCCGTTCCCGATTTTGGACTGCAGCAATGCGCGGATCAAGTACTGAAAAGAGATAACGAGGGGAACACCGAGCTGATGTGGATGACCGGCAACGCACCCGTCGGCTGGATGGCGCAGTACGTCCAGCTCAAGGGCAACGAGTCGGGCATCAACGCGCAGAACTGGAAGGGCCATACTGCGCTGTACATCGCCACGTCGCTCGGGGCCAAGGACAAGGTCGAGTTCCTCCTCCGTTCGGGTGCCGCCGACTATCCCACGGTCGAAGGCGTTACGGCTCTTCACGTCGCCGCCGCGATGAACCACGAAGAGATCGCCAAGCTGCTCGTGCAGCACGGCTCGTTCATCAACGCGCAAGGTACCACCCGCCCGCTCACCCATCTACTCGCTCACCCCCATCAACAACCGTTGTTCAAAAGCAACAAAAATTGCACAAACCGGTGAACGTTCGGTGACTCACCCCGTCTTTTATTTTTCTTGCTGCAGACGATGAAGACGACACTCCCCTGCACTGGGCGGTCAGGGAAGGTAAGGTCGACATGGTCAGGCTCCTGGTCAAGCTGGGTGCCGACTACAACTGTCCCAACGCCGATGGTACCGTCCGCTCCCGCTTTCTCCGCGTGGTGACACGCCTTTGACACTAGTAACGCTAACGCCAAGCTCTCTTTTTTGTCTCTTTGCGCAGGCGAGAATCCTCTTCAGCTGGCAGCATGCATAGACGATGAAGAGCTCAACGATGTGCTAGCTGAAGCTGTCGAGGAAGCCGAAGAGGAGAGAGACGCCATGTTTGAGGACGCCCCCGCCCCCGTGCCCGAGCTGCTCGCCGCCGGCAGCCCCATGCAACTAGACGGCCAGGACCTCCTGGGCGCCCAGTTCGCGAAGCTGTTGAGGGACAACAACGGCCTCAACACCACCAGCCACGGCAAGGCGAGAGAGTGCGACGCAGAGATTCCGCGCTCCTTCACCACGCCCGTCGCGCCCCTGCGCTTCGCCTTTGGCTCGGGCGTCTGCTGAGCACCAGCGGCCACCGCACCGACACCGAACGGTACCGAAGCCTTCGGGTGGTGACATCCGACGACGTCGGCCATTGGCTACTTATTTAATTTCACGGCCCGACACTCCCTCCTCTTCTCTCGAGCAGCACTCCTTCTCTCCTCTGCACACCACAACCGCACGACACACACACACACATTTCGTTGTGAAGAGGTGAAAGCCTTCATACCAACACACATCAAGTATCATATTCCATTACACCACTGCAGCGACCTCCTCTGTTGTTAGATTTGTACAAAGAACAACAACTACTATTTCCCAACCACAACGTGGCACCCTCCTTGCCCCTTGCTTCTTCATTCTCATCTTCTTCTCGTGTTCTCTTTTGTGAACCATTTTATTCGTTTTTCATTTTCTGATCTACCAACGCGTTCGAGGTGACGTAATGAAGAGTTTATGTACAGCCATGTGCTTGTTGGTGTGGTGCCCAACCAAAAGAAAGAAGAGAGTAGGGTAAACGTATAAACACACTAAAAGGCGACCGACGAGGGAAGCGATCTCCTCACGTACGTGATGATGATCACCTCTCGGCGCCATCTCCTTCGCCGGTCGCCGCTTGGCCTTCTTCTTCACCAACAAGGAGGTACTCCTTGATGTCTTCCTCCGCCGCACTCGTGTACTCCTCGCTCGCAGCTTCTCCTGCAGGTGCTGCTGCTGCGGTGGCCACCACCGGCTGGGGCTCCTCGAACAGCTGCTCGCGGTTCTCGATGCACTTGAGTATGAAGCGGGTGACGAGCGGCGTGAGATCGAGCAGCTCTTGCAGCGTGGCGCTGTCCTTGGTGGTCAGCATGTTGGGTCCAAAGCAGGTCGCCAGGTTCGTCACGCCCATGGCGTTGACCTCGGCGTGCTGGGCCACCTATGCGTGCGTGCGTGCGTGCGCGTGTCAACCAATCGAACTATCATTCCGACTACCACCAGCAGCGGCTCACCTCGTTGAGGAAATAACACAGCTCACGAAGCAGGGTCTTGTGTGAAGGCGGCAGATCGGCTATGATGCACTTGGTGGACGCGATCCAGCGCTGCATGTCTTGGTCGGTCCTAAATCGCTCTGAGATACACAGTGACATCATGCGGACGGTGACAGCGCAGCGTAAGCGCCACGAAGACGTGTGGTAAGAGAAGACTCGATGGGGGGGGGAGTGGTTACTTTCAACGTCCATGCACAAGTTGAACACCTTGTAGGGGAAGACCGGGTCTGGCAGCTCTCTCAAGAAGTACTGTCGACAGGCAACACACAGGGGGAAGCGTCAGATCAGCGCGGGCGCAATGGAAAGAGGCGGACCAGACAAGGCTAGAATAGCGCTTCAAGTGGTCGCGTGTGTCTATATACCTTCAGAAGATCGCCGCGCGAGTGCGCGTCCACATTGTCCAATGACACGGCACCGCCTGCATCGACACGATGGACCGATCCAGCGCGTGACGCGGGTTAGTGAGTGGAGAGACCGCGAGTGGCAAAGACGGTATTGCCAGGTACCGAGATCGAACTGCTCCTTGAGCTCCCGCACCACCTTTCGGCTGCCCGACTGCCGAAAGATGCCCAACTCGCGTATACCTGCAAGGCACGCACCATAGTTATGAGAAGCGTCAACACCGGTCAGAGCTTTCTGTCATTTCGTGTAGGTCGTGTGGTGTGGCGTGCGCAGTACGGTACCGTCTTCTCGAAGCGATCGCAGGACCTGGTCCACGGCTTTGGGCAGGCCCGAGTCAGCCTTCTCCACGGTCTCCAGTGGTACACCAAACTGGGGCGGCTGCGTGTGTGTGGGTGACATGAGATTGTGGGGGTGAGATAGGGGGAACTGGCCGGTCAGAGGTCAGAGAAAGGAGGAGGCGTACAGAAGAGGTGCGACCCCATATGTAGTAGTAGAGGGAAGCCGCCAGGGCACCTCCTCCCGCGACAACAGCTGTAGAAATAGAGGAACGAAGAATTGGAAAGATGGAAAGAGGAGATGCAAAAGACATGAATGGAAGAAAACTATGGAAATGGTGAAGAGATGTACCCGCTGCTTCGATCATCTTATCGATAGTACTATGGTATATTGAAGGCCTGCCTTAGCTCTGACCTGAATCTGCAGCGTACCAATCTGTGCTTGGAACTTGCTGGTGCTTGCTCTTGTGTCTTGTTTCCTTTTGGAGAGGAAAAAGAAAATAGCGAATTAATCCATCAGTTTTAAATCGTTAATCTATCCATCCATCAAAGAAGTGAGCATGGGAAACAGACAGTTCGGGATGGGCTACGGAATGGGTGCCGGCCAGTCCCGAGCGGGATCGGCATCGGATGAGGAGCGGATGATGCAGGTCATGATGGCCTCCATGCAGATGCAGGACTATCTCACAATGTACAACTCTACCACGGAGAAGTGCTTCAAGAAGTGCGTCTTCAACCTCCGCACCCCACAGCTCGTTGAGAAGGAAGAGGTGCGCACCCAATTCCTCGAAAATCGCTTCGATTTGCAAGCGATTAACGGCAATGCGTGACTCAATTTTGCTCCCACCCCCTCAGGTCTGCCTCAATCGATGCATCGAAAAGATGTCCCACTACAACCTGCGATTTCAACAGAAGGTGCCTCCCTTCCTCTTATGTGCACTCCTCTCACGCGCACACGCACTGCGTCATCTGCATGTTCGCCGTGTGCTGTTGCGTGCAACAGCACACGATGTGCCAGGCCTATCATTAACGTGGTGTGTGCGGTCGCGTGTCATGTGTCTGCTAGGTGGGCGCGGAGAGCGCGGCGTTGCGCGAGCAGCAGCAGAAGGAAGCCGAGCAGAAGCAGCAGCCACCAACCGAAGCCGCCCAGGCCGACAAAGAAGCCCCATCAAGCAAGTAACGGACTCAATACAAACTCACTTCACACCACACACCACGTGTGTTGTTGTTTTTTTTTGTTTGAGAGCGCACCGCACACTGCCCAACACGACACGACACGCACGCTTTTCTCTTCCCTTTTCCTTTGCTGCATTCCATTTTGACTCCGAGGGAACAGATGACAAGGACGGCCACGCGGGGGTGAGACACGAACCGGAAGACAGCAACACAGCACAGCACACCTCGGGAGATGCATCTCCCAAAGAGCCTTCGATTCTCCTCCTCTTCATCTTCTCTCTCGCTCATTTTGATCTCCATCGTTTTCATCTTCGTCTTCGATCTTTGCTTTGCCGCGGCACCCAACCAACGAAGATCGGCCGCGACATCATGGATGGCACGGGGGCCACTCGCGACGTGCGGCCCAGCGGCCAAGGGCTCCTGCTGCTTCCAAAATCTTCAGGGCTGCCCTGGTACCCATATTTATTCTTATTTTCATTTATCTATTTTGTTATTACTAATTGTTACTGATTTATTTTGTATTTTACAGGGTGCACTAACTCCACCGTGGAGGCCTGCGTGTGCAAAGAGGACAGTCGCTGCTGCTCAGACACATGGGACAGGTTCGTGCTACTCTGTCTGCAACCTCCTCTCGCACGACACGACACGGCCGGCGGCGCGCGGCACTCACACATCGTTCGTTGGTGGGAGATCAGTCTGTGCGTGTTCAGGGCCACCAAGGCGTGCCAGGCCAACTGCGCGCCGCAGTGCACCAACCCCTGCAATCAGGTCTCCACCTGCCCAGGTGCGCCCACCACCCCCCGCGTCTCTCACCACCACTACTGCGGTGGGCCAGCTGTGTCGTGGCTGTGGCTGACGCCCCGGCCCATTGGGCCCCAATGGTCCACACAGGCTGCAGCGACCAGACGCAGCGGGAATGCGTGTGCGGGAAGCTCCGCGAATGCTGCTCGATGGGTACGCATCGCTGCGTGTGGCGCCAACGGTGCTTGACGGTTTTTTGCTGCGCGCTGCTGACCTTGGGACTGTGTGTGTGTGTGTCAGCCTGGAGCGACCGTTGCGTGGCGATGCTGATCAGCTCTTGCGGCGGCGTCGGTAAATTACTCTGTCCCCTCACACGCACACGCACACACACACAGCGCACGCACTCACACGCTCTCGCATTGCGCATCGCACTCACAGCGTCGCCATCCGCTTCTCACGTGCCGCCTTCCTCCACGCCATCTGTTTCCGTTTCTCCGTCCTTCGTGCCGCCGTCGGCCACGCCGTCCGTGACCCCGACCACCTCTGTGACCCCGTCGCCTTCGCCGTCGTTCATCGCGCCCTCGCTCTCTTCGACGCCGCACGCGGGCAACGCGACAAGTCCAGGGTACTGCGCCTCCGCCCGATCAACGAAAATTGCGATCGAGCGCTTATTGTACTCACACCAACTGTTTGTTCATCATTAGAGCTCCGACATCGATGGCATGGGGCGTGGCCATATTCCTTCTGGTACGCACACAGCACGGCACGCACGGCACACGACACATGACACGACACACATGACACACACGGCACGCACAGAAAAATCAACGTTTCCCGTGGTGGTGTGCAGGTTGTGGGCTGCCTTTCGGTCTCGACCTGCGGAGCCGTGGCCCTGTACTACTACCGTAAGAAGCAGCGAGTCGAGGAACTCGGCATGCGTACGCTCGATCAATCCACTCTCTGTGTTGAATGCGTGTCGTGCGTGTGTCGTGTGTCGTGTGCAATGTGTCATGTGTGTCGTGTCATGTGTCGTGTGCAATTGACTCACCCGCCGCTGTGAAGCCACCTCTGCGGACAACCGGGCCTACGCCCATCTGGAGACCGAGGACGAAGAGGGCCTGTTCGACGGGGCCGAGGACGACGAAGAGGACCTGCCGGACCCGTTCGCCGAGGAGTTCGTCGCCCGCGAGATGGAGATGCGCCAGCTCTCGACATCGCCACCATCGCCGCGGACGCCATCGTCGGCCCTGCCGCCACCATCATCATCGTCACAGACCGCCCCGAATGGCAACGGCAACCACTTCGCGATTGGTGGTACGGACGACGACGACGATGAAGAAGAAGAAGACCACCACCACCATCACCACCGCACAGACGAGAACGAGCTGGTGGTGCGCGACGATCCCGTGGATGAAGTGGAAGAGGGCGTCGATATGTTCGCTGAGAGGGACTAGTGCGGTTATGTATAATCGAGAAGAATTCGATGGAGGTGTCAGTGCATCCACCTCTCGGCGAGACTGGCGACTGACGCTGACCGAGCAACGGCGAGCCACCCCTATGGAGTGGCAAGCCAAGCGCACGCACGAGCTCCTCCAGCTCGTCGTCGTTGTCGTAGTCGTTACCTTCTGCCCGTAGTTCGTGTGGCGTCACGTCTAGGCCCGACGGCGGTAGTCGCTGCTGCGGTACCGCTGTGGTGGTTGCCGAAGCTGTGGTGTGGGTGCGGTTTGGGGGCGGTGGTCAACTCGCCACGTCGCCCGAAGAGCAGCGAATGCGGCAGCCGCGCGAGCAGGTACGTGGAGACTGGCTCGTGCGCTCATCGATGCGGCAGACACCCTTCCTCGGATCGATTGTCGTTTCCGCCGCTGTGGGCCGGCTTGATGAGCGGTGCCAACCAGAGCCTGGTGGAAAGAAGAATTTTCCATAGGTCAAGAAAATACTCTGACAGTCTGGCATTGGTTTTTATTTTGTGAGCGGTCTTAGGCAATTGGAAGATGAGTAGCCAGACACATGCAAAGTATACCCCCACTATTGTCTTTCCAGACTAGCAATATGGATGCATGATGTACACAACTGGAGTGAAGGGATATTGTGCATCTGGGTGCAGCTGATGTTATGGGCATGTCCAGGTCATAGAGCAACCTGGCCTCTTCTATTCACAGCACCAGGAATTACCACCCTCCACAATGACACCCAATCCACTTCCACTGCCAGTGTTGACAACAATGATCTATGCTGTGATGAAGACAACAAAGATGATGGTGAAGAGGATGTGGGCCTGGGTGCAGGCTGTTGTGCCCACATGGCCAAGGAGGGCCAACACCAGGTGGTGGTGGTAGGTGGACAAGGGGCAGGCTGGTCACTGTGCAAGCTGGTGTTGTGTGTTTCCTCTTGCTCTTGACATCATTCTTGCTGGTCATGAACCATGTGGCTGCTTTTTGCAGCTGTTGGCTGAATTGAGGTGTGTGAGATGGGCTGGGAAGGCCCCTCCTGGGTGCAAGGCGAAGAAGGGACCATGGGAATTATTATCCACAGCTCCTCCACCTCCATCTTCAGTGCACCAAACAAATGAAATATTCAAGTGCGCAGAACGCTAGATTGGTGTCAGTGCAGGCGGGGCGTCAGCGAAGTTCATCCACTGACCGAACAGTGGTGAGCGCGCGCCGCTTCCACCCCTATGGAGTGGCAAGCCAAGCGCACGCACGAGCTCCTCCAGCTCGTCGTCGTTGTTGTAGTTGTTACCTTCTGCCCGTAGTTCGTGCGTCGTCACGTCTAGGCCCGACGGTGTTGGTGGTCGCTGCTGCTCTGCGGTACCGCTGCGGTGGTGGTGGTGGTTGCCGAAGCTGTAGTGCGGGTGCGGTTGGGGGGCGGTGGTGGTCAACTCGCCGCGTCGCCCGAAGAGCAGCGAATGCGGCAGCCGAGCGAGCAGGTACGCGCGGATGCTAGGCTCGTGCACGATGCTGCAGACACGCTTCCTCGGATCGTCGTGTCCGACGCTGTAGGTCGGCTTGATGAGCGGCACCACCAACCCCAGGTCCGTCGCAAGAACCCTTTCCACCTGCATGATGTGCCAGTCCACCTATGCGCGTATCGTTTGAGTGCACCACGTGTGTCGTGTGGCATGTGTGTTGTGTGTTGTGTGTCGTGTGAGCGAGTACAAGAGAAAAAGACGGTACCAGTCGCCGTTGGCTGCAGAGGAGTTGATGTTCGGAGAGGGCTAGCACTCCGCGCCCCTCTTTCGTTATGAAGGTGCAGGACACAAAGAACGGCTCCCCGACGGGCGTGGGCGACCGCATCAGCCTCGTCCGTACGTAGGTCTGAATACTCTCAGGGTCCGCCACGCCGAACGAAGATATGGGGAAGCCGTACATCTCGCGCTGTTGTTAGTGACCAACGTCAGCCGTCCAGTCCGTCGGTGTGTGTCGCGCGTCGTGTCGTGCCGGGTCGTGCGGCGCGTACCGTGTCGTAGCCGAGGAGATTGCACATGGAGGGCGACGCGTACGCGATAATGGGCGTGTCCATGTCGTCCAGCGTCTCGGCCTCTTCCATTCGCATGACCAAGAACGGCCGCCTGATGACCCCAATGCCGTACCAATGTATGTCAGTCCCGACCACCCTATTTGCTTAACCTTAGCCCGGTGGCGGATTGGAAGTGGTGAGCGGTACCGCAAGTCACGGATGATGAGCGACGACCAATCGAACGCCCGCAGGAACGGAAGCGTCTGCGCGATGAACCGCTCCACGTCGGCTCCCGGCATCGTGGGCTCCGCCACCGCTGCCTCTGCAAGCAGCCCAGCGCACACGCCCGGTTGTGCCGTGGACTGTGAACGAGAGTCGGATCGCGGTGGTGGGCATGGGTGGGCCGCCATGACGTGATCGTCGATCTTTTTGTTGAGCTCCATGCGCAGTTGGTGGAGCTCCACGCGCGTCTGCTCGAGCTCGATGTGGGTCTGCTTGAGCTGGCGGCTCTTGATCTCGTTGTCCTGCTCCATGCGCGCCAGCCTGCGCTCGGTCTTCTTCTGCGTGGCGCGCAGCTGGGCGATGGTGTCGTGGAGGTGCTCGTTCTCGCACCGCATCTCGCGCACCTGGTCAACCACCAGCATCAGCAGCGACCGCAGCCCCTGCCAGTCCTGCTCCTGCTTGCCCTGGCCCGCCGCCGGCGCCGGTAGAGCACGCGGCGCGAATCCCGCGGGCTGCGAAGGCGATGATGATGAGGGATACGACCACGACGACGCCCAACCCTCCTCCGCCGCCGGTGGTGACAACGATGAAGACGAAGACGATGATAATGACGGCGAAGAGGAGCAGTGTGGGCCTGCAGCAGGCGCAGGTGCGGCGTGTGGTGGCTGGCCGTCGCCGGGCAGATCGACCACAGGGTCGGTCGTCTTGGGCCGCACGCAAAGGCGCTTGCTCGCTGCTGTTGCCTGGGCTTGTGTGGTGGCGATGGTGGGTTGGGGTGGGGGTGGTTGCGGCTGGTGTTGGTGGTGGTGCGATGGCACAGCCGAGTTCCCCGGGTCTTGTTGTAGTTCTTGGTTGTCGGGTGCGGGGGTCTTGCGTGGGCGGCCGCGCTTGCGCGTGGGCGACGGCTGGCAGCTCTCGGCCTTGCCCACCCTCACGCACCGTGCGCACGGCTGCTCCCTGCGGGTTAAAAGAGCTTCAAAAAAACAATGATAAAAAGAGAACAGGCAAGGGGGGGAATTGGGGGGGAGAGAGAGTGGCAACGGACCGGTCGCAAGAAACGTGGGCAAGACGGCACGTCGCGCATGCCTTTGGCCCCGCGGCGGCGCTGTGGCGCAGCGGCTCCGTGTCCATCTTCTTCAGGCTTTGGCTTTTGCTTAGCTGGGTGGCGACCAGAGCGGCCCCGAAGCAGCGGGTAAACAAGGTCTTCGACTTTTGCCTTTTGCTTGGGCGACCGAGAACATGGTGGGAACAGGGCCACGCCCAATCACCACCACGGCCAGTCTCCACTGAGCCCGGGAAAGGAAGAAGACCAAGCAGCACCTCTTCCGCGAAGAAGCGAGGTGATGGGGAAATAAGGGGTGAAGGTTCCAGTCACGTTTGTCGGGGACCTGGGAATCTCTCTTTTTTCAGGTTTGCCGGTTGCGCTCGGCTCAGCGCATCCATCGCTCGGCGAGACTGGAGGGCGTGGGTGGCGGGCGCGAGGTGAAGCCCACCATCTGCGGCGAACGCACGCCGCCGCTGCTCTGGCTCGGCGACTCGAAGACCCGGATGAGCTCCTCCAGTTCGGCGTCTGCCCGTAGTTCAGGCTGCACCGCCCCTACCTCGTCTTGTTGGCCCGTAAGCGCGGCCGTCAGAGCTTCCTCCTTCTGCGTAGTGCGCTCTCCGACCACGCCGACCGGCTCGACGAACGCCTGGCGATGGAGGCACTGGTGCGAATCTCGGTGGTGGTGTGCGGCATCGGGCAGCCCGGTTGTCAACTCGCGGCCGAGGCCGCGGCCGCGGCGCCCAAAGAGCAGCGAATTCGGCAGCTGCGCGAGCAGGTACGCTCGGGCAATTGCTCGGGCAGTGGGGTCGTTTATGTCGCGTAGGCGCAGCGTCGTGAGCGGTGTCGGCTCTAGAACGCTGTCCACCTGCATGATGAGCCATTGCGCCTGTGTGTGTCGTGTTGAGTGTTGTATGTGTTAAAAATCAGAATGGGCTCGTGACTGGAGCGCAGTACCATCCGTCGTTGGCTGTAGAGGAATTGCTGCGTGGTGTACACCCGCATGCCGCGCCCGCCTTTCGTCTCTAAGACGCCGGGCACCCAGAGTGGCTGGCCGACGGGCGTGGGCGACGGCATCAACGCCATCTCCACGAATATTGGCAAAAAGTTCTGGTCCGCCAAGCCGAAGGAAGACATCGAAGAGCCGTGCAGCTCGAACTGTTGGTTGGCCCACCCGAAACCGATGTTACAGTCAGCCTTCACTTCCTCGGTGGTGTGCGTCATGTGCGTGGTGTGTGTGTGGGGTGGGCCATGCGGCGGCGTACGGTGCTGTAGCCGAGGAGCTTGCACAGGGGCGGTGACGCGTAGACGATGATGGGTGCCAGGTCGTCCAGCGTCTCGGCCTGCTTCATATGCATGACGGCGAAAGGACGTCTGTCCAAGATCACGCCACGCCCCACGCCACGCCATGGGAGGTGAGTACACAGAAGATTGCAGCGGGTACAACCAGCAGATTGGAATTCGTGGAAGGTGGGCGGGCGTACTGCAAGTCGCGGAGGATGAGGGAAGTCTGATCGAACGCCCGCAGAAATGGAAGCGTTTGCGCGATGAACCGCTCCACTTCGGCTCGCGAAGTCGTGGGCGCCGCGGCCGCGACGTGCGGCATGCCAACGCACCACGACGACTGTGCCGGAGGTACTGGCTGGGAGTCCAATTGCGGTGGGATTGCTGGTCGCGCAGCCGCCGCCAGCGAAGACGAAAGCGACGGCGGGCACGCAGGGCTTGTGTGGGTGTGGACGTGGTCAAGTCGGTGGGTTATGGCGTGGTAATCGCTCTTTTGGTTGAGCTCCATGCGTGTCTGCGTGAGCTTGATGGTTTGGTAATCCTCCTCCACGCGCGCCAGCCTGCGCTCGGTCTTCTTCTGTGTGGCGCACAGCTGGGCGATGGTGTCGTGCAGTCGCTCGTTCTCGCGTCGCATCTCGCGCACCTGGTCCGCCACCAGCATGAGCAGCGACCGCAGCCCCTGCGAGTCCTGCTCCTGCTCCTGGCCCGCCGCCGGCGCGAATCGCTGGTGGCTGTGAGACCTCGCGGGCTGTGAAAGCGATGAAGGAGACAACCACGACGACGCGCAGCCCTCGTCTGCTGGAGATGACGATGACCGCGACGGCGACGACGAAGACGGCGAAGTGGAGCTGGCGGCGGTGGTGGTGGATGGCGATGCTGAGTTGGCGGTCGTTGTAGCGCGGAGCTGCGGTTGTGATGGAAGAGTGGTGCCAGATTCGTGTGATGGCTGTTGGCAGGTGGTGGTGTCGTCAGACATATGGACAGCGTTGGTCGTCGTGGGCCGAACGCAGGCGCGCTTGCGCAGCTTTGGTTGTTGGTGGGCAGAGGGTTTCTCCGCGTGCCGTGCTGGCTGTTGTGGTGGTTGTTGTTGTTGTTCGTCGGGTGTGGGGGCCTTGCGTGGTGGGCGGCCGCGCTTGCGCGTGGGCGACGGCTGGCAGCTCTCGGCCTTGCCCACTCTCACGCACCGCCCGCACGGCTGCTCCCTATTTATAAATTAATGCCAAAGAATAAAAATAAAAGCGCTTTGGGGGGGGGGCAACACGGACCGGTCGCAAGAAACGTGGGCAAGCCGGCACGTTGAGCACGCCATTGGCCCTGCTGTGTCGGCGGCAGGCTGCTGCGAGGAAAAGTTGAAGGAGCTGTGGCAGTCCGCCTCCATCTTCTGCCGTGCTGCCTTTCTTCTCTCATGTGGCCTAGTCCCTCCTGCCGGCCGTAGCTGACAAACCCGTCATTTGGCAACCTCCAAACATCATCGATGGGTGGCGGGTTTCTTCTCTTTCCGCCAGGACAAATAATGCCACGAACTCGCAACAAGCTCAGTGCAGCCACCGTTCGGCGAGGCTGGTGGGCGCGGGCGGCGGGCGCGAGTTGAAGCCACCGCCGCCGCTGCTGGTCTGGTGCGGCGAGCCGAGTACCCGTATGAGCTCCTCCAGCTCGTCGTTGTTGGCGTTGTGGGGGGTGTTGGCGTCTTCTGCCCGCAGTTGTTCGTGCGCCGTCGCGTCTCGGCCTGGCGGCGGCTGCGGCTGTGGTGGTGATTGCTGCCCGGCGAGCGCGGCCGTAAGCGCTGCCTCCTCCTGCGCTGTGATCACGGCGTGCTCGACAAGCGATGCCTCTAAGTTCGTCTCGGGCTGCTGGTGGTTGTGGCCGCGCTGCTGGTGCTGATCTCGGTGGTGGTGGTGGTGTGTCGACGAGGCGGGCGGTCCGGTGGCCAACCTGCTGCGGCCCCCGAAGAGCAGTGAGTGCGGCAGATGGGTGAGCAGGTGCGCTCGGGCGATCGGATCGTGCACGATGCTACGAAGCGACCTCATGGGCACCGCCGTCTCCACGTCCATTTCGTGAATGCAGTACACTTGCATGATGTCCCATCTTGCCTGTGTGCGCGTGCCGTGCGTGGGTCGTGCGTTAATCATGAAATAAGTACACTCATGAGTGTAGCGGCAGTCACGAGACACAGTACCCTTCGTTGTCGGTCGTAGAGGAATTGGTGCCGGTTGGTTGTTCGCACGCCGCGTCCCTGTTTCGTGACAAAGACGCTTGCCGTCACAAAGAATGGGTGTGCGACGGGCGTGGGCGATCGCATCAGCATCAGCCGCACGAACGTCGTCAGAGTCTCAGGCGCCGGCGGACCCACAACAGACACGAGAAGGCCGTCCAACTCATACTGTCGCCCCAAGTCGACGGTGAGTCAGTCCGTCGTAGGGGGGGATATGCAGCAGGTGGGCAAGGCAGGCAGCGGCGTACCATGTCGTAGCCGAGGAGTTGGCAAAAGGAGGGTGACGCGTACACGATGACGGGCGTGTCCAGGTCGTCCATCGTCTCGGCCTCGAGTATTTCCATGATCAGGAAGGGCAGGCTGAGCAGCCATCGATCGGCGCCATACATCGTCATTGTCACGACACACACGACAAGCACGGGTGGTGAGTCCAATGTACACCACTACAGCTGTAGTGCGAGCAAGTTGAGGTGGGGCGGTGGTGGGTGGGTACCGCAAGTCGCGGATGATGAGCGACGAGGCATCATACTCCTGCAGAAACGGAATGCAGTGCGCGATATAGCGCTCAAGTTCGACTCGCGACGTGGCCTCCTCGGGGGCAACGAGCGGCCGGCCCACGCCCGCACGCAGGTGTGCCTGTGGTGGCAAATGATAGGCGTCCCATCGCTGCGGCGCTGGTGGTGCTGGTGCTGGCGCTGGTGCCACCTGCATGGACTGGAATGACGGGAATGACTGGAACGCATTCGGGCTCGCGTGTGCGTTGGCAGAGACCTGATCGAGTCGGTGGGTCATGGCCTCGATCTTCTGGTTGAGCTCGATGCGTGTCTGCTCGAGCTGGCGGCTCTTGGTCTGGTCGTCCGCCTCCACGCGCGCCAGCCTGCGCTCGGTCGCCTCCTGCGTGGCGCACAGCTGGGCGATGATGTCGTGCAGACGCTCATTCTCGCGCCGCATCTCGCGCACCTGGTCCGCCACCAGCATCAGCAGCGACCGCAGCCCCGCGTCCTGTCCCAGCTCCTGCTCCTGGCCTGCCGCCGGCGCCGTCTGAGCCTGCAGCGGCGCGGATCGCTGGTGGCCGGGCGCAGTGGGCTGTGAAGGCGACGACGACGCGCCGTCCTCTTCCTTCGGTGATGACCACGACGACGATGACGGCGAAGAGAAGCTGGTGGCGGCGGCGCAGGGCGCTAGTGGGTTGGCGGTGGCAGCAGCGGCAGCGGTGGCGGCGGCTGTGGCGTAGAGCAGTTGCGGGGGAAGAGGGGCTACAGGTGGGTACTGCCAGCATGCGGCAGGCGGCGCAGCTGGGTGTACACCCAGTGGCGGTAGTGTTGGTGGCTGGTTGATGGTGTCGCCGGGCCGGATGCAGAGGCGCTTTGCTGCCTGAGCCTGTGTGGTGGTGATGTTGGTGGTGATGGCGGGGAGCAGTGGTGGCGGCTGGCGTTGGTGGTGGTGCGGCGGTTGTTGTTGTTCGTCGGGTGCGGGGGTCTTGCGTGGTGGGCGGCCGCGCTTGCGTATGGGCGGCAGCTGGCAGCTCTCGGCCTTGCCCACCCTCACGCATCGTCCGCACGGCTGCTCCCTGCTCACACATGCGCCCATATATATAAAATCAGAATTATTTTA